GTTCCCTTCTCTCCCCTCTCCCAGATCTCGCTCTCCACTCTCTCAGATCTTGCTTGCTCACTCGTCTCTCTCACTTTATACAATTGATCTTTTTGTATATGTATACCAAAGCAGATTATACAACTGTTTTTTTTGATATGTATATCAAATTATACATATATATATTTGCTATGGAGCGCAATTATGCAAACTTTGTTATAGCATACAAATATAAATTTTGTATTTGCTATATATGAAAGTTGCTCTAAAAAAATCTCAAAATTCACTTAGAAATATTGTAGTGATACTATTCCTACGTGGATAAAGCAAGATCCGATTTTCAACATCTTTGTCAAAAGTTTGACAGGAAGGAAAATGGTGGCGCTGTCAACTTTCAACAATAAGATGGAGGTTAGTCACATGCGCACATTTCGGCTACCGCTCCCTCACTTTGTCCTTTAAACCGTTCTTCATATTTAGGGGTTTTCCCTAATTGTTACAGTAAAAGATAACGAATCTACACCCACCCCACCATTATTGTCCTCCAACCTGTGTTTTGTCTCTGTCTGTCAATAATTATCTGACCAATCTCAATAACAAGTTTTGATTTTTGATCAAAGGGTTCAGTTGGCTTTTGGGTTCTTGCAAAATATTCTAGAATTCGTGTATTTTCCATCATAGAATGACAACGGAGAAGCAAGATTGTGGGTCTCTTGCTCCTCTTTTACCTGTGGAACAGGATGAAAGGTCAGGGAGAGGAGGATCAATTTCTGGTGCTATATTTAATATCTCAACGGGAATGGTTGGTGCTGGGATTATGTCTATCCCTGCTACTTTTAAGGTTCTTGGGGTGATTCCTAGCTTCTTTGTTATCCTACTTGTGGGATACTTTGTTGAGGTGACGGTTGATTTCCTGTTGAAATATACACATTCAGGAGAGTCGGATTCTTATGGTGGCCTTATGGCTGAGTCTTTTGGAAAGTTTGGTTCTGTTGCTCTTCAGATTTGTGTTATGATCACTAATCTTGGTGCCTTGATTATCTACTTGATTATTATTGGTAAGTAACTTGTTTAACATCTATTAAACTCCTTCCTCTTTGTTAAACAAGGTTTTAACCTTCTAATGTTCCTATTTGGTTGATGAAGCAATATGCCACCTTTTAGTCCATTTGTAAACTCAAATAGAGATCCTTGAGTGTTTTAGCTACATATTGGATGGATTTGTTGAATTGAGTTTGCCATTTGGTTCCTTGTTTTTATTTTTTTTAACTAAACTGTCATTCAGTAGAGTTACAATGTCAAAATCTGGGTATAGATTGCTAATTTGTCTTTCCAAAGAAAGCAAACATAACTTTTTAGTTGGCAATCTTGCTTTGGATACAACATAGGAGTGTCACTAATTGATTTGCGGTATGTTTATTTGACAGGGGATGTCCTCTCAGGAAATAATTCTGATGGATCAGTGCACTTGGGTACTCTACAGGAATGGTTTGGCATCCACTGGTGGACCTCGCGGGCATTTTCAGTTCTTGTTGTTGTGGTTTTTGTCATGCTTCCATTGCTCTCTTTAAAGCGCATAGGTTGGTTCAGTCATAATCTCAGAACTTCTATCTCTCTTTTTCCCATAAGCTTCATAAAGTACACTTGTAAGTATTATTCAGCTTGTTTTTGTACCTTAGAAGGACCAAAACTCTAAGTAGGTATCGACATTATACTCCATTAGAATGATATATAGAGCATTTTTCGTATCACTGGTAGGGATGGCAATAGGGTGTGTTAGAGAGGGGCAAGTCTTGACCTGCTAAGCCCTGCCCAGCCCTGTTTAAAACTGCTTTTGATATATATTTTCTAATCCTAATTCAATAATTTAGATGAATTCAAGCTCTGTTTTATCCTTAGAAAGTCAAAAGCAACCTCTTTGGAATAAATTATTCTTTCTTGTTATTTCACTGCAACAGTAACATCTTTGGAATAAATTATTATTTCTGGTTATTTCACTGCAAAAGTGAGATGTCAACTAACCAAATTGTTTTGCTTTTGAAATGTTCAGAGTGAATATCAGATCTTAATAACGTGTTGTCTTGAAAATAGTTTGCATATTGTTTGGTATTCATTTTACATCAGTAAATTAAAAAATGAATTAACAGTTAGCAGATGAGTTTCTTTTAACACATATGGTGTTATATGATAAAGTACTTAAATAGTCACACATGATGTGCTTTAACATGTAAATTATCCTTCCCTTCCCTACCCTGCTAAAAATTTTCAGAAAATAATTTCTTCCCCGCCCACTTCATTTAAGTGCTTCCCTGCCCTGCCCCGTTAGGAGTTTACCCCGCCCCGCCTCGTCCCAGTTGCCATCCGTAATCACTGGATGCATAAACAAATAACCTGCATGTTAAAAATAGATTGAGGATATTTGTCAAAGTGGAATAGCATATATTTCATTTAGTATATGTAAAGCACTGCATATAATGGATTATATTCTTTACATCCAGATTCACTGAGACATGCATCGGCAATATCAATCCTCCTAGCTGTGCTGTTTGTTGTCATATGCTCGATGATGGCAATACATGCAATGTGGGAGGGGAAAACACAAAAGTTACGACTGGTACCTGATTTCTCACATGGAGTTTCCTTTTCTGAACTGTTCACAACCATTCCAGTTTTTGCTACTGCCTTTGGATGTCATGTTAATGGTAAGACGTACTTTCGTGAATACAAGTATGTCATTCTCTTTTTATTTTGGGTGACATCTTTGCTTCTTTGTTACTTTTGTTCTATCCTCTTCTATTTATTTACTTTTGATGAGTTAATTCACTCTCAGAGGTTATATTCGTTTGCAGTTCATCCGATCAGAGCTGAGCTGGGAAGGCCATCTGACATGACATCCGCTGTTCGCATTTCCTTGATATTATGTGTTGTCATTTACTTTGCTGTTGGATTCTTTGGGTACCTATTGTTTGGGGACTCGATCATGGCTGACATGCTGGTCAACTTTGATCAAGCCTCTGACTCTTTAATTGGTACAGCACTAAACGATATTGTTCGATTGAGTTATGCCATTCATCTCATGCTGGTGTTTCCTGTGATGAATTATTCTCTGCGGGTAAACGTTGATGAACTATTCTTTCCTAAAAGACCTTTGTTGGCCACAGAAACATTACGATTCTTTTCCCTTACCTGTATTTTACTTGCATTCATTTACGGAGGTGCTGTAGCCATTCCAAATATTTGGTACTTCTTTCAGTTCATGGGAACGACAACAGTCATGTGCATCATGTTCATATTCCCGAGCTCAATAGTTCTTAGGTATGAGCTACTTCAATCTTGATTTTATATAAAGAAACTTTATCCTTATTACGGTATCTGCCTATTCTTCAACAGAAAACAGAGAGAATTGTTCTCTTTGAAACGACAGAAATCTCCATATAAGTTGCCAAGTTATTTTTATCAAACTTCCCACTCACTGCTGCTATAATGTTTTTTCTCAGGGATGCTCACAACATATCTACAACTCGGGAAAAGATATTGGCTGTACTGGTGATTATCTTTGCCATTGGGACTAGTTCAGTTGCCATATACTCTAATATTGCGATTTATATTGCCAACAAATGAACAACTTTGCTGGGTTGCACTCTCAAAATCAGTTGATCGATGCTATAAGGTGGTTTAATTATGTATAGAGATCAGAAGAAGTTCTAATGAGCATTGGAAAATCATCAGTAAGCCAATGAGAAATGAGACCTGCTTGTTCTTAGCAACGCCTTCATGGTTGTCTCATCCAGGCAAAGGGGAAAGAACTCTTTGGTATCTTCATGGCTGTTCTTCTTTTATGCTAAAGCCATATGAAACAACTGCTTTGCTCAAACTGTTGAGGATCTTACATGATTTAGTTTTTTTTTTCTTCAGAATTTTATCTTCATTTAGGAAAATAGGGAAGTCATACTTGTCAAATAATGATAATTCAAGAAATAATTTGGTTATTTTTCTTTTTCAATTTGGAGACAATATTTTTTCTTACACTAGTGGGATGGAGGACATGTACCATGGAGTTAAGATTAGGATGAGGACAGTGGGGGATACTCGAAGCACTTCCTCAATACTTATGGGATTGCACTAGGGGTCGGCTCTTAGCCCCTTTTTTCCCACACTAGTTATAGATGAATGGACGTAGCATGTATAAGGTGAAGTTTCATGGTGTGTGTAATTCACAGATAATATAGTACTGATTGACAATGCTTACGGCAGGATCGAAGATTGAATACTTAAGAGTGAACTGAGTAAGTTCAGTGGCCTTACGCATGAGGTCGGGGCGTGGAAGTGAAGTTTGATGCTCAGGTCATCCCATAGAGAGGATGTTCCAAATATGTGGAGTTCCTAATTCAAGGTAATGGTAGATTGAAATGATACCACACATTATATTGGTGTAGAATGGGCAAAATGGAGGCTTGTCTCCAGAGTTTTGTGTGATAAGAAGGTATCGCCAAATTTTAAAAGTAAGTTTTATAGAATGATGGTTAGAAAGGCAATGTTTTATGTGGTGGTGTGTAAGTCAGTCAAGAACTCTCATGATCAGAAAATGAAAGTTGCTAAGATGAGGATGTTGAGGTGCATGTGTGGATGTACTAGAAGATATAAGATTAGGAATGAAGATATTCAGGACAAGGTATGAGTGACATCCATAGCGGACAAGATAAACAAATTGGACAGAGATGGTTTGGACATGTGACAAAGAAAAATGTAGAAGCCAGTGAAAGATGTAAGAGTTTGGCAATGGGGGGGGGGGGGGTTAGGGGGGGTAAAAA